ATATATATATATATATATATATCGGTCTTAAAATTTTGTAGCCTATTTAAGACCTAGAAATTCTTGGTCTTTTTTTTTTCTTCGATCAATCAACCATATCTATCAAAGAATCAATCTATTGCTTCATAAAAGTTAATTAACGCTGCGTCTGGATCACAACAAAAGTAGAAGGAAATGAAGTGAATAAAAGGAGATAATAGGTGAGATGATTTTTTAATTGTTTGATACAAGAAAAAAATGAAAGAAATAAAATATATAAGTCATCTTTTCCCATGTTTCATTTAATAGAAAATGAGAAGAAGAAAAATTTGTAAAATGACAAACAGCTTTTCATAAATATGCATATGATATTATGAAGGATGTTTTTGTCCTTTCAATTAAAAGTACTAGTCTTCACCTTTCTTTTCAAATTAGAGATAAAGTCTTTTTTAATGTAGACTCTACAAAAGTATTTTTTTTCTCTAACTAGACAACCAAAAAGGGGAAAGTAATTATTTCCCTTCTTTTTTTTTTGTTTTTGTTTTTTTGTCTTCATTTATATCTAACAAATGTTTGTCTTCTCCTTTCTTTTCAAATTGGAGTCTCTTTAAGATGAGTCCTACAAGGAGGAAGTTTTCTTTTCTTTCTAACTAGACAACCAAACAAGGGGAAAGTAATTCTTTTACCTTTCTTTTCCATTATTTCTATTTTTAATTTAAAAAGTATTAAATTTACTTTTTAGATTATACAAGTATACAATTATTGTTAAAATTAGACATGCTTTCTAGAAATGTTTTTCTCTAAAAGTAAGCTTAAAGAAACTAGTCGTTGGTACAACCTAAGAAACGAAGCGCCATTCTGCACATCATTGATCGGAAGTTTCTCACATTCCTAATTTCCTGGGAAAGACACATGACAATCCAGACGGAGAAGAATGAAACACGGGTAATTGATGAGTTTGTTTTAATTGATGTGGGAATTTTCAACTGGAGGACACACAGACACATATGGACAGGATATGCCAAATTTGGGGTTGGATCTACGAGTCGTTCATAAAACTAACTAGCTTTTATTTTCCTTTCTTTGTTTAATTAGCAATTTAGCACTGAGTAATCTAGATCCTTAATATAAAAAACTTATATTCTTTCCGTGACTTTCCAGTACGCACGTGCCGCTTTCTGCTCATGAACTCTATCCATAATATCTGCAATGGACGTTTCTTGTGCTAGGTATCGATCATTCAGTACTTCAGTTTCAAAACATGATATTTGATGAGATTATACAAAAAAATTGCATACAAAATAAATCATAAAGATAAACAATAATAAGATGTGTCAGGACTAATATCCTTGGCTACCTGGAGGAGGTATTCTACGTTGATATCATCCGGGTAGTGCTGTAAAAGTTTTAAATTGGCCACAAAATCACCACTTAGCAGTTTGTTTTTCACGCAAAGTAGCATTGCGCAACAGATGCGAAGAAGCATATCCTGCAAAAAAGATTTTAGCCAGGTAAGTGGTAACTTATTATTAATAAAAATGGTCAAGTAAGCACAAAGCAGCCAAACACATTAAAAAATCCACACTAATATTGTAAACTGAGTATTAATTTCATCCTGAAAGATTTCCGAGGAGTTTGGTTGAGAGAGATACCTGAACACCAAAAGGATTACTCAGTAGTGTATCCCATATTCTCAAGATAGACTCAAATTTGAACTCTTGCGTGAGTAGCAGTGTAATCCACCGGAATGCATAGAATTGTGGTTTAACCTGTTCATGAGATTCAACAGCATCATTTAAATAGAATGGAACTGTACAAGCTGTTAAAGTAAAAAAGTTCAAAGGTTCTACTTTTGTTCTCAATTCAAGATGACGCCATAATTGCTCATCATTTACTTTTAATAAATCTGACAAGCGAGAAAGGGTAGCAAGGATGCCACTTGAACTATTATCCAAATGTTGGCAGAAATGATCCACCGAGTCACCCAAGATTCGAACAAAACAAGAAAAACTATCCGCTTCTACATTTTCCTAATAGAAAGAAAACAAAGCACAAGTGAATAACAAATGATAAAATTATAGTCCTTTTTGTCCGCTAATATTTATTTATGCAGACAATCTCCCAAAACAAAAATGTGATGGATGATACGAGAGGAATGGCAACTGTTGTACGACAATTGTAATTTTAAAATGGCCAAGTCTAACCTATCTGGTATGTTATTGAATTTATGGTTCAGTATAATAGATATTGGTCAACGTAACAAAAGTTGAATCATGCTTGTCTGGTGTTGGTTCATGTCAAAAACCGAAAGAAATTAAAAATCCAAATTGTCTAGCAGTAAAATTTTCAAGCTTCTGCACTGGATGATGAAAACAGAAGACGCGTTAGTGGCATCGTATAAGCAAATATTGAAAGTGAGACGTAAATACTCAAATTTAAATTTCCTAAACACAAGTAACCCTCCTTCAACCATGAATTTTGGTTTGCTACCAAATGCACGTGCCTGTTCTATGTCATCATATATATCATGCTTTTACCCTAGCCAAAGAAAAATAACGGGAACTGCTACAAATCACATAATATACAATTAAGCTGGGAAAATCTTACAGCATTTTGCTTGTCGGGGTCAGTACTAAATACATAGTATATTGGTGCCAAGACCTCGTTCATGCCTTGCACATAACGAATCTCAGGATTTAGCTTTGCAAAAAGGAGAAGGATATTCTTCATGGCTTCCTATTGTCAAAGTATCAACAAAAACTGCAATCAGAATTGAACCCCCTAAACATTCTACACTGAAAAGTGAAAACAAATTGAGGATTGTTTGATAAGTAGGTTAGCTAAAACTAAAACTCACAACAAATTGTAAGAAAACTCGTAGTATTTCTTTGGGTTGCAGTTAGTTACCCTATTTTTGCGACTTAATGATGACTCCCCTGAGAAGAATGGCAAATCTGGATGTGTGCGTTGCAGATCTCGATCTATCTGTTCTACTATCTCTGTATACTAGAAAATGGACAGAAAATCATAAGTATAAACGTCATTATTCTGAAGGGATTCAGTCAAAAGTAACTTCACAGTGGAGGAGAAATTTACCTGAAAATACTGACTCCAAAGGCTAGACTTACCGAGGCTTAAAGGGTGATCTTCATGAGAAATTTCATGTCGCCTAAGGGGGCCATCAACATCACTGTCCTCCCATTTAGTGGAACTTAATTCCTCATATTCCTTCCAGATATGTTCTGACTGTCTTAGATTCAACAACATTATCAGCGAAAAATGGAATGCATGAGCTACAACATGAATCACACCTGACACAGCCAATTGCATGTTTGATATAAATATATATATCAGCAATATATTACCGGATTCCGGAGAATATCCCTTTTCAGATTAGCATATTTTTGTCTATTCTCTTTTAGTTGCTTGTCCCAAAGGTCATGAGATGAAGGCAAGTAACCCAAGAGTAGCTGGTTGTGGAAATCATAGCAGGACAATCAGCTGCTTGTATACAGACATAACTACAATCAAAGGATTTTATACTTTTGCAAAATGGAAGATAAATCTAATATCTTCATCACTAGAATATGACACGAAATCCATAAACATAAGATAACACTGTATTCCTCACTATTAAGTTTTTCATGGTGATGGGTTTGATGATAGAACTCTTGACCACATGCTTAAATGATACGGTTATTTTCCAACCATACCACACCAGGTTACTCTATTGTAAATTTTCTAAGCATTGAGGTTTCCATTCTAATTATCATAGTAACATGATGAACTGAACAATTACCTTCCAAGCCGTTGCGCGCAAACCTCCTCCATCAGGAATACCAGTGCTGGCAATTCTCTGCAACTTTTCCAAATTAATCTCCCTTTGAGAAATCTGGATAAAAAAAGGGGTAAATGAAGGAAGAATAATAAAGAGCACGAACTAAAGGAAATCAAAACAAAACCATTTCCATTTTTGTTCTCCAATCACGACCAACCTCGTGTTCCAGATCCGATCGTTTCTCCTCCTCCGAAATGGACTTCAACACCGAAACCGGAGTGACAGAATCTTTGATAGGCCTCTTCCGAATTTTTCGCTCCTTGTCGTCGTCATCATCATCATCGTCGATAGATTCCTCACCATTATCACTCTCTCTATGAAACCCTAACTCGCCGGGTTGAATCGGCTCGAGCTCTTCGCCGGGCTCGAGTTCGAAGTCTGATCCGTCGATTTGGTTACCTTTTTCGTCGAACGCAGCGACCAGGCTGCCGAGGCGGTCGGGAAACACCCTCCGAGCCTTGTCCGGAGCTGGAAGCTTGAGCTTGCCTTTGAGCATTGGCGGTTACAGAGAGGAGTGGAGCGAGTTGAAAGGGAAGGAAGTGGAAATTGGAAGTGAGAGAGGAATAGTGGTTTCTGGTTCTGCTTCTCCATGACTCGGACATCAAACTCAGTTAGTTAGGACTTAGGAGGAAGAAGAAGAATGGTAGTTATGGATGGACTATGGAGTTAACGTTTGAATGGCAGGTACGCGCCACCTTTTAGAATTCTCAAATGGGCCTTTAACAAATGTTCTCCTCCCTTATGGGCTTTGGATCCAATCACACTGAAAAAGGATGGAACAAATTCTTTTATATCACTTGAATATTCTTATATTATTTTAACCAACATGCAATGCTTTCTTATGTATAATTAAGTAATTTTATAGATTAAGTTATTTATATTTTAAAACTATATTATACTTTAAATATTATTTATTTAATAAAATACTAAATAGTTTTAAAATTTTATAAAAATTAGTAGACTTAATCTGTTCAATAAATTTTTAAATAATCTCATTATCAAAACTTAATATATAAAAAAATATTGAGTATAATAACCTTATCAATAATTATTTTTAGATTAACTTTATGTGTGTGTAAAAAGAGAGATCCACTTAATACTTTATTTTATAAATTTAAATTGACAAATAATAATAATATTTTTTTATGAATTTGTAAATTTAGTTATATATTAATATTTTTTAATTTAAAATTAGGTCATTAAAATTCAATGTAATCTATTAGTTATTGAGTAAAGTAAGTTTATAAAAACTTATCTCTTTGAGTAGGTGAATTTCTCCTCTATACAATACTTCAAAGTTAATGATATTTAATTTAATGAAAATATACTAGTAAAAAAGTACAATACAAGTGGTATAAAATAAATACATGTAGGAGATCAAATTAATTCTACTTAATCAATGAATTAGGCTAGACTTAAACTCAATATAATGTATCATCACGAGACTAGCTGTTATTTTCCCCGTTACATGTTTATGTCACTCACTATTTATAATGTAAAATTATAATTCTAAAATGCCCACTGTTTCTAAACAAATTGAACTATATCTTAAGTAGGTACAAGAATGACTTGCCTATGATTTTTGGGAATAAGTGAATATATTTGAATGTTTTAATACTTTTCAATATTACCATGGGGAGAAAAACCTAAGAAGCAAATATAGAGAGTTCATTTCTCATGTATATTCATCTTAGTCAAGGATTTAATATTAAGAAAGAACACAAAGGGATTTTACATTAGAGACAACACACAATTTGTGGTATAAACAAGGCAATGCGAAAAATTGATTGAAAAGAATAACAGTAAATACAAGGAAAAGTATTTAATAAACATTTCAGTAAAGCCTACTAGTTCCTTTCCTTATGTTTAAATATTTCTTAATTTATATGTATTAACTTTAAATATCTAAATAAAACGATGAGGAAGTAGTAATTATTATTTTTTCAATTTGAGGTTATCTATTTATATAATCACAAAAACAAACATCCTCCCCCTTCCCTTTCTTTTTCTTTTGCTTTGCCTTCCTATCCTTAACACATCCCAAGTAATTCATTTATTGAAGTACTAGTTGAATTATACTTCAAGGAGGAAAAACAAAAGGTGATGACATAGAAGTATGTATCATGTATATATGCTATTTTGCGCTATGTATGATTTTTCCTTTTCTGGTGTTTAAGCAATTTATTAACGTGTGAAGAAAAGTCATGGCGTGGCCCTTGTACATTTACATAAACTTAATGATAGCACAACTTCATTTATCCGTATCCAACTGTACAAAAGGATGAAATTAAATCTTATCATGGCATGATGCATTAAAGCACTTCATCGAAGCAAAGTGTGGTCATTGGCACTCCATATATTTTCATTTTATACATATACGACCAAATCATGATTCGTCCCTTCAAACTCTTCCGAAAAGGCTCCACTCCTGCTCAGTTATACAAGTAATAGATTCATTTAATAAGCCCCACAAAATATATCTTCTCTTTCCACCAGAAAAACAATTTACAGTGTGTATCGATCCACTTTAATATATAGTTCAGACTGAATAGTGTTAAGACTTATCTTGTCCAGTAATTTCTTTAAATATTTATAATATAAATTATCCAAACGAAATTTCAACTTCAATCAGAAAAGAGAAAACAATACCAAAAGCATATAGTGAGAACTGTATGTAAGATTGTATTAATGTTTAAATCAGTTTACAAGAGTGTGCGGTGGTAAAGATGATCTTTTTTTCTTCCTATTCTATACCTTATATATATTGTCTTTGACTGTCACGTTGTATTGGATTAGTTATTGTTTTAATTGAAAAAATAATATTTTTATTTTTAAAATATTATTTAATTTAATTATAAAATTCACATTTTTTTTATGAGATAAGACATGTATAATAATTTATGGACTAATAATAGGGATTGGTCAAAGGACAGTATAGTGGCCTAATAGAGGTTCAATTTGGAAACCAAGAAATTTTCGAAGGAGCTTAATATCACTTGAGGAAGGCTTTTAGACAAATATACGTCACAATAAACAAAGCAAGAATTTTGCAGCAGTGTGGGTGTTTTTATACAGAGACAAATGATTAAAAAAAAAAAAAACTTTAGGTTAATTAAAAACAAAATATTCCTACAGATGAAAATCAAAAGTAATTTATTGAGATGAGTCTCCTTAAAAAATGCCCAGTTACTCCATTCTTTTGGAGATAAAAAAAAAAATGTACTTGTATTTTTAACTTTTTTGTTAAAGATAAAAGATTATGATATATTTGAATATCTTATCTTATTTCCTGTAACAAAATTTGTTAGTTTCTAATATATGGTAAGTTTGAATTTTGTAAATAATCCTTAATATATTGATAATTGAAAAATAATTATCTTTTTAATAAGCTTGTAATCTATTATTAAGATGATGTATATTTAATTAAATGCAAATTGATCAATGAGAAATATATCATTTATCACATCTCTTTATTTTTCTATCTTGGTATCAAAAACTTTGAAAACATTTAGCTCAATCCAATAAACCATGGATTCTGCTGTCAATTGACACAAAAAAAAATCTTATTCAACAAATTAATAGGAAATCAATTTAATAAGAAAACTAATTTAATAAGAAGATTAAGATGGTGCAATGTGATGGTGGAGGTGAATTTAAAGGCTTATAGAAAATTATCCAAGAATCTGGTTTCTAATCGAGAATATTTTGTCCTTACACTTCACAACAAATTAATAAGGTGGAAACAAAGCATAGGTATGTTGTAGAACTTGGTCTTACATTATTGACACAAGCTAAAATGCCACTTTATTTTTTGTGGGAAGCTTTCTCGATTATATATAATGCTCCTAATAAATAAAAGAGTTAATCATCGCTACGCTGTCAGTGTAAAGTTTTTTACACTAACAACTAATCATATCTTTTAAAGTTGCTTATTTTATTATTATTTCATTAAATAAGCAACTGACATGTCACTATTAAAAGATATGATTGGTTGTCAGTGTAAAAAAACTTTACACTGGCAGTGTATAGGTAATTAACTCTAAATAAAATGCCTACATATAAATCGAAATAAAAGTCTCTACTCATTATTATTTAACAAAGAGCCTAATTATAATAACTTAAAGTCTTTTGACCGTGCATGATACCCGTGTTTCAAGCCATACAATGCTCATAAGTTGCAATATCTCACTATAAAATGTGTTTTCTTAGAATAGTAGCTCGCATAAGGGATTCAAGTGCATGAACTCAAATGACAAGATCTTTATTTCAAGACATGCAATTTTCAATGAGTAGGATTTCCTTTTCCATGAGGGTTTTCTCAACAAACAAAAGCTAGTAGAAATCTTTACTAAACCAACTTCCTATTTTTTTCTGTTTATTCTTGCAAGGAGTGAAATTAATCATGAATATAAAGATTATAGATCAATTAGTGTAGAAGAATCCAACAACTCCATCCAACATGATGATGATCAATTCCCAAATAGTAGCAACATACAAACCTGGTATAAAATTCATCATCAGCTCATGAACAAAAATTAATGCAGTACCAATAGAGACTTCATCCAAGTCAATGGCTAAAAAAAACCCTCCAAGCACCATTAATGAAGCTAGCGGTTGCAAAAAATGTTGTGACAGTTGAAAGACATGCAATTTCACCCTTAAACGTGCACTAAATGTGTACAAGGAACAAATCAAGAATCCACAAACCAAAACCACCTTATGAAGGAACAATTGAGAGACAAAAGGAAGGAAAGGAACTTGAGAGACAGTAATAGAAGCTCTTAATTAATTAGAATGAAGAGAAGCTATGAATTTTGAATTTAAGGCCTTACTCTCCAATGACACTTGGACTTTGATGCCTTACCAAGGCCAAGAAAATCAAAATGGGATTTTAAAAACAAGTACAAAGTTGACAAGACAATAGAAAGAGAAAGGGTAGGTTGGTTGCAAAGAGATTCCAGCAAACTATGAGTTTGGATTTTGATGAAACTTTCAGCCCTGTAATTAAAGATAGCACAATAAGAATCATCTTAGCTATAACTATACATTTCAACTAGGAGTGCGACAAATGGACATTAACAATGACTTCTTAAATGGCTATATAAATGAAATAGTATTCATGCATCAACCAGAAGAATTTGTGAATCCAGACAAGCCTTGTCATGTGTGCAAACTCACCAAGGCTATCTATGGCATCAAACAAGCACCAAGAGTATGGTTTGATAAGCTCAAGGGAGCTTTACTTCATTAGGAATTCCAAAACACTTGAAGTGACTCATCACTTTTCTTTATTAGAGGCAATAATCATATTACTTTCCTTTTAATTTATGTAGATGACATAATTACCACAGGAAGTAATTATCAATTTTTGAAAGCTTTTATCAACCAACTCAATGTTGTCTTTGCACTAAAAGACCTTGGAAAGCTACATTACTTCCTTGACATTGACGTACACAAAGAAAGTGGTGACATGTAGCTAATAAACCAAATATATTGCAGATGTCCTCAAGAAATTCAAAATGGATCAAGCCTCCCTATGCCCAACACATATGGTTACAAGGAGGTCATTTACCAATGAAGGTGAACCAATGAAGAATCCTATTGTTTTTAGACAAGTTATAGGGGTCCTACAATATTTAACTAATATAAGGCCAGACA